TGTTTTGCAGCACTGGCTTGGCAGGCCTGCTCCTCTCTCTTTCCCTCCCCCCAGCCTTGCATTTCCTTAACATAGATCCCTAACCAAACCCAGTCAAAAGATGGTTATTTATTCCATCTCGACTCTAGCATCCTTTGCTCTGTTTCTTGCTTACGGTAGCAAGGCATTTGCAGATGGTTGTTGGTTACTGTAAAGTACATAACAGTATTCCCTTTGTGGCAGATGGATGTAAGACTTTTAGTTCTCAATAAATGTAGGTTTACAATACATAACTTTACAGGATTTGTGTTGTATGTAACAGGTTTGAACATATTATCTCAGAATTCATCTGCATGGCATTTTCAGCTTATTCAGGGTCCGTGCCGGGATTTTTTTTTTTTTTTTTTTAAGTAATAGGGGAGTGCTGTGATTGATAGCAACAGCTCAAGGCGTGATTTTGAATAGAAACAAAGGGTTTGGAACAGAAGGTGTCAAATTAAACTTTGTCAGTTTGAGAAGTAGTAACATCCTGAAAGTTGTACTAATTTATTTACATGTGGCTACTGTTTATATTTTGCCCTCATTAGATGCAGCGTGATGCTGCTTGGCAAATTTACTACATTTAAACTTTACGTTGTTCCTTGTACCATTTTGGTTTTCTGAGACTGGAATTTTAAGGCTTTACAAGCCTTACAGGTGCCTGGTTTTTGTTTTTTGCTGTTCAAACAGCTGTGATTAATTTTGGGAGTAGGCCCCATCCTTCCTGCCTGGGATCTTGGGGTACATCAAGTCCCAGAGATCTCTAAAAAGCAGTATTTCACATTTTGCAACAAAGCATGCCTTTCATTTTCTTTCTTCTTCCAGATAAATTGGTGCACAAGCACCCTGTTGCTTCAGAGGAGCTCTTGTTCTTATTTGTGATATACTGAAGACATCCAGCCTGTTCATCATCTTCCCAAATTTATTTACTCTAACATCCTTATTGGGAAACTGACTTAGGAAAAAGGTGTTCAGAAGTTAGAAAGCATTTGGCTTCTTCAATTCCTTCTTCAACTTTAGATTACTGTTATCATTAACAGAATCACAAACAATAGGACTTAAGGTAGTCTGAATATTCCAAGGCATTTAAATAGCATTAGAACAAATTAAATTTATTTTTGCCAGTTCTAACTGGGCGTCTGCCAGCTTGACATGAGGGAAAAAGGGGGTCAAAAATATGTCTCCCATTATCTTTTAAGAAATAGGTGTATAGCGGAAGCGTGGCCCTGGTTTGGCTTTTTTTTTTTTTTTTTTTTTTGGTTTAGTCTTTCAGAGGATGAATAAGACATAGTAGTCTTGTTGGACAGAAGTTGGCTTTGTGGTTTTGGCACTACCCTTGTAGAGCTCCTAGCATCATCATCCATTTCAGTCTCTTCAACCCCATCGTGTCTCTTAAAAGGCTAGTGGAGACAAGCTTCAACTTCTAATTCATCATATTATTTTTAGATAAGGAATTAGAAGTATTATTTAAGGGCGGAGGTTAATAGCTATGTACTGGAAGTGTTATGTTAGTCATGGGCAATTAATAAAAATAAGGATCTGTCTGGGAAGCACAGAAACACAGAAATGACAACATGAGCAAAATGTTTGTTGAATGAGTCAGGGCTCTTTTTTCTGAAATATTTGTTAACCAGCATGAATGTGATTGTTTAGGAATTAGCTATCATTATTAGCTGTTTTAAAAGAACTACTGATTTTCTCTTCCAAAGAACATCTGTGATCCAAATGTTTTTCATATACATCCAAGTGCTAACTGATCTCTGCCTTACTTTAAAAAGTTTCTAAAGGAACCATTGGTGGTTTCTCAGGGCTCTCCAAGCAGCTTTCTGACACAAATTGTTCTTAATTTTTATCAATTTTTAGCTCCAAGCATCTGTTCCTTTTTGATTGTTTTTTGACTGGGTCTCCCTAGTCACAGTCTGCCTGCGAGTCACAACGTGAACTAGGGTGGCCTCCATCTTGCAGAGATCCACCTGCTTCTGCCTCCCAAGGGCTGGAATTAAAGGTGCACACCACCATGCCTGGCATCTAAGCATTTGTTTCTAAAAAATAAAACTCATAACCACTCAATATTTAGTACTTGCTAGGATAGTAGAATACCACCAAAGTTTAAGAAAGTTTAATGAACGTCTCTTGAAAGGTAAATGGTATGATTCATTGTGCTTGGTGTCCAGATCCTGTCAGCAGTTGTAGCTAAAGGATTAGGACAAGGTAAATAGAAAAGTAATCCTAACTTGATTATTAAGCTTTCAGGAAGATACATATCTAAAACCTATCCAGCAACAATATTCAGAAGTATGATTTAAGGAAATAGCTTAGATCTGGGAAAATGGATGATTTTTTATGGCTTACTCCAGAGAGCCAGTATTTACCTTTAGGTAAAATAATTAAATTAATATCTCCCTAAATTAATATCTCCAGGGGACCACATGCAGGTGGGTCTCAAAAACTTCAAATACCACAGTTCAGCAGTGGTGTTTGTTACCTACTCAGACGTAGAGCTGAGCGGTTACATCGCACAGCCTCTTACAGCAGTTTGGGAGTAAGCATAAGTTGCTGTGGTCAGACAAGACTCATGCCCAGGGACTCCTTCATCACACACGTGATTTGTTTTTTCTTTCTGGTGGATATTCTTTCAGGTTAATGAACTGCCCAGCCTCTCACCTCGAGTTGAGTATTCATTGGCATTTGAATGAGTACATGATCACGTGAATATTCATGTATGTGTCTATGTGCCTATTTGCTTAATTTATAAAACCCTGTTAAAGAATCAAAGCTCTCTTTAAAAATTCTTTATTTTTGTCTTTATGCGTCTGAGTGTTACACCTGCGTGTAAATGCACCTGTGTCCTTCAGTACCTGCAGAGAACAAAAGAGAGCATTAGATCTCCCTGGACCTGGAGTTATGGGCGGTTGTTAGTCAACATGTGGGCGCTGGGATTCGAACCCAGGTCTTCTACAAGAGCAGCTGGTGCTCTTCACCACTGAGCCATCTCTCCAGCCCCAATCAAAGCTCTCTTCGAGGTGCTTCCCTGGCATGTGCAAGGCCCTGGTATCCATCCCTAGCCCCACAAAACAAAACAAACAAAACCCGCACTGGCCACTCAGGCAGCTGATGTGCCAGCCCAGTCTTCTCTTTTGAAATCCCGAACAGACATTTCCAGAACAGGCCTTGCTTCTTTTCACTGTATAATACAATTCAGGTTTCTCTTGGGGGCTGGAGAGGTGGCTCAGCAGTTAAGAGCCCTCACTGCTCTTGCCGAAGAGCTGGATTCAGGTCCCAGCACCCACATGGTGGTTCACAGCCAGCTGTGACTCCAGTTCCAGGGGATCTAGTGCTCTCTTTTGGCCTCTTTAGGCCTCTTGTGTGCACACGGCACACATAAACTTACACAGGCATACACACAAGCAAAAAATAAATCTTGAAAAATACATATAAAGAAGTTTGTCTTTAGTGACCTCTTCAGTTTGAAAAAAAGGGAAAGCCATGAAATTCTGATTTCATCACCTAGTAACATGAATAGCAAAGCAAAACCTTAGCTAGACCTGAAATTCACATGATACAGGAATGGTGTTCCTGGAAATTTCCAAGAAAGCCCTTCATCTTAGACCAGTGCCTCCACAGCAGAGCCTCAGATGGAGATTGGTGCTTTGTGCAGGGGGGACAACAGAAGAGGGCGAGACCCAAGAGGTGGAGGGCAGTGCGGAAGGACCCCTTCTGTAGAGGACGCTGAGGGCGCAGTCAGTTATCAGTTATCTGCTTGAGGCATGGCGGGACTTTGTACCATAAGGTAATTACCATAAGGTAACACTGGGGTGAAGGGACCAGCGAGGCAGTCCAGTTGCCTTCTAGGGTGTCTGTGGAAATGGGTCCAGGAACTTCCTTCAGAACTGAGTCTAGCAAGAACTGTCAGTGGGCTGCACAGTAGCTTGAGAGGGCACTGCCCTGGCAGGTGGGCTCAGGATGGACACCCTCCCTCCCTCCCTCTTCCTACCCCATTGCTAAGGGTCCAGAGTGGCAGACAGGATGAAGATTTGAGATGGTGATGAATAAAGGTCCTCTGTTGCACCATTCAACCAATGGATGCTCAAGCCCTGGTTCTGAGAGGGGCATATTGGGGCACTGATAAAATTCTTGCCTGACAAATCACATGCACGTACTGCAGAGCAGGACTCTGAGGTCCCCTTTTGGGAAGTTCATTGTTGAAGAACTCTTCTAATGCCTGTGGTAATTGTTATGCAAAAGCCAAACAGTATTTATGGTCAGACACTATGGCAGTGACACAACACACCCATACATACGCACATACACATACACGAGTTTACCTCCTTTCTAATACAAAAAGTGTAAGCTTAGGAAAGCCTTTGAGAGGAGTTTATTTCTAAAACTCTGCCCTGCCACCTCCGTGTCCTGCCTCAGTGCTGGCAAACGTGGCCAGGCAGGAGTCGACCCACCCTCATCTTTACCTTTCTCCCATCACACTTACTGCAGTCTTTGAGAAATGCACGTTTGCTCTTAGAGTCTGAAGAATGTTTGTCCTTAATGTCTTTCATTGTGCGTTTATGTGGGGTGCACACCCTTGTGCATGGACGTACAGAGAACAGATTGATGACAGGTGTCTTCCCCTGCAGTTTTTTTGAGGCAGGGTCTCTCACTGTGACTGAAGCCCCCATTTTGATTAGACTGGCTGGGGAGCAGGTCTTGGGGATCCAAACTCAGGTCTGCATGCTTGCGCCAAGTGCTTGACCCACTGAGCCATCTCCCAGCCCATATCTCTGCCTTTTAAGATGCAAGTCTGATCATTCACTGTCTTCCCTACAGCTGTCCTTTCTCAACAGGTTGAAAGAAAAGGAAAATGAAAGCAAATTGGAGTGCTGTGAGCGGATGACAAAGTTAACTCATAGTCTATTCCCTTTTAGCTTTTATGGATGATTCCAGCCCCATCCCCACCACTAACTGACCTCTATTCCCTTCTCCCTCAGGGATGGCTGTGTGAGCTGTTACGCTGGAAAGAGGACCCTTCTCCAGAAAACAGAACCCTGTGGGAGAACCTGTCCATGATCCGAAGGTTCCTCAGTCTCCCTCAGCCCGAGCGTGATGCCATTTACGAGCAAGAGAGCAACGCAGTGCATCACCATGGCGACAGGCCGCCCCACATCATCCACGTTCCAGCAGAACAGATTCAGGTTCGTTTACCTTGGCCAATTCGTGTAGCACTAAGTAAACAAAGCTTTCGACTTAGCAGGGAAATTACCTTCCCTCCAGTATAAACATAGGGTTTTTGCAAGAGATAACAGTATACCGCCATCTTGCTCAGGGGATAAAAGGAAATGAGCATGCTCTTTTCAGCATGTGCCTTGTGTCCCCTGCCCCTGAAGTCCAGGAACCCCCTTTTGGACTGCTAGTTTGGTAACTGTCTTTCTTAGCCCTGGGTTTTATCTGTGAAAGCTTAGACTCTTTTTTGGTGTCTTTAAAAAATTAGAATTTAAAACGTCACCCACATCTTAATTAAACCACACTGCCCTGGAGGAAACGAATCACTTCTGTGTTGTAGAGGAAGTTCACAGAATGACACTTTCATACCGTGGCTTCTGTCCAGAGTGAGGAGGGGAGGGAAACCCAACTGACATCTTGCTTTGCGTGCCTCACCCTCACCTCACCTCAAACAGCCTCCCCGCCCCAGGGCAGGTCAAGGTGAGTCATGTCTGTTTGTCTTTCCTTAGAGCCCCTCTCCCAGCACCCTTGGGAAAGGAGAGTCTAGAGGCGCTTTCTTGCCAGGCCTGCTGACCCCCGCACCATGGCCCAGTGCTGCTCCTCAGGTGAGCGGGCACAAGTGTCCTGTGCCAGGAGAAAGGGCGGACAGGGTGGTGTGAAGACCAGCTCCCTCGGCCAGGGCTTTCCCACATGCAGAGGACAAGGATGGATGAGGTGTGGCTGTGGCCAAAGACCACTGCTGAGGGAGTTCAGCCTGTGCCCTGCATATCTTGTGGGGACTGGCTATTCATCCGCTCAAACTCGATTGAAGAGTTCTGGACCAGGATGTGTGTGGTGGCCTCAAGAAACTTGAGATGCGTGTTATGGTTGAACTTGAGCTGTGTCACTTATTTCTGCTAACTCTGGGAATCGTTTCCACCTTCTTTTAGGATATGTCCTTGCCTCAGAGTCCTAAAATTCTACCTACCTAAAAGCTTTGTTGAGTCATCTGTATTCTTTCTTGGTATTGCTGTGGAAAAAAAAGATATCTGAAGCTAAAATAATAGAGTCATCTATCCACCAGGAAAGAAAAAAAAAAAATCCTTGAGTATTTGTTAACGATAAAACAAATTGACAAAGAGAATCCCTAAGGTTATCAAGCACTGAAATAACTGTGAAAGTCTGAAAGACTGACTGTTTTGGCTGAAACAAAGATGAGAGAGATATATGTTAAGTAATAAAAATAGTACTTGTTTGGAAATGTAAAGAGTTTTTAATAACATTGCTTCTTGGGCGGATAAGAGGAGATGCCTAGGCACAGGACGGATGTTCTAATACACTGCTGCTCTGCTCACCCAGGGTCAGTAATTAGGGATCTAGAGTGTACCGTAGACACGGGTCACACGTTTGTTACATATGATTGTGTGTAGGAATTATAGACATGTACAGATACTAATTATTAAAGAAGGGTATGCATTGGATTTAAATCTTAATCACACTGTAGTTTGCTATAGACAAAGCCATTTGCTAACGATACAGACTGAACCTTTAGTGTCAGCCTAGTGCAATTTGGTAGGAAAGTGTGTATATGTATATGAGAGAGAGGGAGAGAGAGACTGAATGAGTATCGAAACCGTCTGACAGAAGGTTCAGGAATGTAAGGTTCCCCAGCACTCATCCCACCTCCCCAGACCTTGCAGTGAGAGGTGCTCTTGTCTAGTTCTGTGTCTAGGCCCGGAATGCAGAGCTGCAGAGCACACTGCTTTCCCGCTGGCGTAGCTGGGTCTCCCCGCACGCCTTTGAGATCCTTGCTGAGGATTCCTCTTCTAAGTCTTTGTCAGTCAGTGACATTGTCGTTTGCCTTTGGTGCTCCTCCAACTGGGAAGTTTGATGGCTCATGTTTTTGAGCTGCTCCCCTCCACACGCCCACATCACCCCATGAGCACAGCAGCCCTGTGAACTGCACCCCTTCCTAGCTGCCCGGCTCAGAAGCCCAGATCAGTTTGATCTTTTTAAAGCCGGTCTGCGTTCTCTCTCCATATCCGGGACACTGCACCAGCTTGGGAAGCACTGCTCCCCGCAGCCGGCTCCGTGGGGGGCTCAGAGCAGCTCTGACCGTCCGCTTGTCTCTTTGCAGCAGCAGCAGCAGCAGCAGCAACAGCAGCAGCAGCAGCAGCAGCCTCCGCCACCGCCGCAGCCTCAGCCGCAGCCCCAGGCAGGCCCCAGGCTACCCCCTCGGCAGCCCACCGTGGCCTCGCCCGCCGAGTCAGATGAGGAGAGCCGGCAGAAGACCAGGCCACGAACCAAAATTTCCGTGGAAGCCTTGGGAATCCTCCAGAGCTTCATCCAAGACGTGGGCTTATACCCGGACGAGGAGGCCATCCAGACTCTGTCCGCGCAGCTGGACCTCCCCAAGTACACCATCATCAAGTTCTTCCAGAACCAGAGGTACTATCTCAAGCACCACGGCAAGCTGAAGGACAACTCCGGCTTGGAGGTGGATGTAGCCGAATATAAAGAGGAGGAGTTGCTCAAGGATCTGGAGGAGAGCGTCCAGGATAAGAACGCCAACACCCTTTTTTCCGTAAAACTAGAAGAAGAGCTTGCGGTGGAAGGGGACACGGACATTAGTGCCGACCTGAAGGACTGAGAGGACTATTTTCTTTCAACTGTGCTACTGACATTTACTAACAAAGTGAAAAAGTCCACCTTGTGTTCACTCAGAAAATCCTTGTTCATTGCGTGGCCAATGAATCTTCAGAAACTTGCACAAACCGGAAAGATGGAACGGGTAGGACAGACCCTACTGATGCTCTTACTCTGTTTTACAAACTGCTTGGCAGTCCCAGGTGAAACATCAAGGATTGTTTGGTGGTAGAGTTTGTGTTCAAGGGATGCCCCGAGGTGTGCACCCTCTAAGCATGATACCAGAGGTTTTTTTTATTATTATTATTACTACTCTGGAGCCTCCAACAAGCATTATAATTTCAGTGATTATGATTGCCTTTCCTTTAATTATTTCTGTAACACTCCACACTGATCTTTGGAAACTCGCCCTTATTTTAAAAAGAAAAAGGAAAAAAAAAGAAGAGTTTGTTACTCGATGTGTGTTACAAAAGAACTGTAGACTGTGGTTTGCAGTTTAAAGATGACATATACCAACAGATGCCTTGCGTCACATGGCACTGCCGTAATTAAAATTTGTTTTTATTTTGGAAATAAAAGTTCACTGTAATTTTTTTTCATTCTCATTGTTACATGATTTTGTTGTTGTTTAAAGAAAAAAGGAAAGAAAATGTGAAACACAATTTAGTCCTTGTTATTTATTTGTAGACCCTGCAGCGTCATGTTGTACTTAATTTTTTGGAAGTTTCCGTTAAATGTAATATTGCTTCTCTTGTTACCCATACCGATTTCTTTTCTATTTATAAGTGTATTTTGATGGGCAGTAAAACAAAGTGTCTTAAAAGTTTTAAATAGAGAAAATGTGCTTTACACAATTGCCTATAAAAAGTGCTCTATGTTATCCAAGCAATTCATCCTATAAGCTCCGCCCTCTCGTTGTTGTATGCAATTTTTACTATCATGCAAATAAGCTTAGGTAAATCAAACTAATAGATCACCTTAGAAAATTATGCAATTAATGTGAAAATAATTGATGTTTGCAATGTGTCTTCCTTTGGTTTACAATCAATTGTAAAGCGACATCTGTATAAAATTTCTGTATAAAGGTGTATTTCTTTTTTATGAGTTTATGACTATGAAAACACCGGCTATTTTGTTACAGCTGGCTGTTTTTATAAGTGTATCACAGTTTTCTTTATGCAGAAATGTTCTGATTAGGAGTGGTTATTGACTGTAACTACACAATTAAAATTGTTTGTATGGTATGACATGGCAGGGTTGTCTGCTTATGTGAAATAACTTTGATCAAAGAGTTGAAGGAGGGCCCTGCCGTGGAGGTGTGTGTCCACACTGTCTTGATAGCTTGCTGGTTCTCAGAAGAACAGCTCAAGAGTCCTTGAAACCCTGTAAATCTCTATCGTACACGTATACTCCATTTTAAACCGGTATGAAATTTCACAATGGCAATGATAATCTGGTTTTGCTTAACATTTTGCTTAATAAACAGGACAGTCAAAAGACTCCAACAGGAGCATAGATTTACTCTGGAAGTTATGTACTTAAAACAGCTACATCTGCTATTGTTTCATAATCCTTCAGTTACTTCTGCGTTTTTCCTGAAGCTAACCTGTATTTTTAATGGACATTAATAGAAAATGGGAGCAAACAGACCTGCATGAGAATCCCTTATTAAGGGCTGCATTTTGGATTTGGGGGGGTGTCTTTTTATTTGGTCACTTTTGTCACGACCAGAGGTTAGTGTGGCCCATGCTCATTTGTGTATGTCATAACTAAGAACTACTAAGAAGCTTAGGACACAAATGAGGTGTGTAGATGGTTCTAGAATACTCCAGGCCAGTGCTGCAGCTTTTGATGTGTTTGCATTTTGTTTTCCTATGCACTTATCATTGGTACCCTCTTATTAGGGTCCTCTTACGGGGCATGGTTCCTGGAGCTAGGGTTCTGATCTTGTTGGGCCCCAGGAGCTCACCAATGGAAACTGGGTCACTTTCCTGTTAGACTAAAAGGAACTCATTGAAAACTCCCACTAAAGCTTTAAGGTTGTCTTCTGTTTCAAGGCTGCTGGTGTGTGTCAGGCTAATTTCCAGTTCTTTTTTATTAAAGGAGGAAATCTGAACTTTATTGTTCACTGGAATTCAGGAAAATAATCACGTGAGCCTAGTGAGTGAAAGGGATCAACAAGCAAGGAATTTGAATTAAAATAGGAAAAGGTAAACTTCAAGTATTAAAGAAAGAGGAAGCAAACCAGTATGCCACTAACTGAAGAAAATTATTTTTCTTTTCCTCCTTTTCTCCGTTTAAAAAAGTTGATGCAGCATCAAGTAGAATTGAGGTCCTTTCCTTTTAAAACAGTCCAATACTTAAGATATCAAATAAGTATGAATTTTAATTTTTTGGAAGGAGCAATTCGGTTGCAAGTAAGAATTCTCCATGCCTCAATATGAATTCATCTGAAACGACGTTTCTGATGAAATGATCACTATGTGTTAGAAATCAGCATAATTTTGCTCACAAAATTCTCAGATGTTTTAACTTGTGGTCAGCATGGTTTTGTCACTTTAGGATAAAGCGCATGCTAGCAAACAGGGTGGTCCTGATGGGGGGAGTGGAATCCTGCACATCTTGGGAGCCTTATCCCTGTGACCAGCACTGCTCCCACATTCCACATCACTGTTGTCCATGTCACGCCTCCGCTTGCCTGTGGCTGGTGGCGAAATTCCTTGAACAAGTTTCATTGTGTCTCAGTATTCACAGACATTTAAACACTAGGCATGACAGTGCTTTGTGCTGTGAAGACCTCAGCAGTCAGGTAGTTTACGGGTAATATTCAACCTTGGGCATCTGAATCTGTCATGGATTCTTTCACTCAGCACTTTGCCACTAATTTGAATTATACTCTGTGGCCATATAATACTTTCACATTATGCAAAAAATGATGTTGATGGCATCTTCTTGCCACACAATATGCAGAGTTGACACATAACCTTTGAAAACCAAGGTAACTAATTTGTGTGCCCTACTTGTGTGACACTCAGTAACAAAGTCTGTACATAGGTATAAGATGTGTATTGACTAGCATTTAGTACTAAAGAATTCTGAGCTTAAGTGCCCCCCCCAGTAGCATCATCTGTAGCCAACTATGCTTATCTAAAATACATAGCTTGAATAGAAAAGATTAAAATGGTTCAGGAGTGATTAAACATGAGTATCCCACACACTTCATTATTAAATTCTTCCCTATTCCCCATTGTTAACATTTGGCTGATATCAAGGTCCTTGGTTGTCAAAATATTTTCAATAAATGAGGTATTCTGAACTGCCTGGTGATATTTTCAACAAAAGCAATTAAAACGTCTGCCACCTATGATAGAGCTGATGGAGCCTGGACAATTGTGTTAAGGCCAGAAATGTGCATAACTGTGGAAACCCAACAGCTCCCGAGCAGGAATGATCGGAAATGTTAACACAATCCATTGCTTCTTTTATTTCTTAAGGGGCCACATTTTGGATTCAGTGGTTCTTCTGAAGGAGTCATTTAAATGTAAATACTGAATACATGCATGTCTTTTGACAAAAGCTGAGTTACAATCGATTAATAATGCACATTTTTGATAAACTATAAAGTACCCTTATTAAAGAAATGTGGAAGGTGTATGTTCAGAATACTATACCTGTTTAACAAAACCATATATTAAATAAAAATAGTTTGGAATTAATGCTTAAAATATGAGCAACATTTTAAGCCTTTCTTATATTACCGTATATAGATAATATGTATATGTATATATATATATACACACACACACACACACATATATATCCAAATGTAATTTTATCAAAAGAGCACTACTAAAATTCAGTCCTGGCTTCTTCCTTTGTACCAAGGATGGTTATTAAGTCACCTGTTCCTACAGGCTATTTTCATCCACTAATGCACCTACTATAATCAAAGAGCTTGATTTGGGCCTATCCTCATCGTGGCCAATAAGGGGTACAGGGGAGCTGTGTACTTATGGCCTGGCAAGCTGAGAACAGAGAAACTCCAAAGTGACCAAATTAAATGTGAAACACTATTTCATTCTTTGAATGAAATACATTCAAAAGAGTCTTCTCTCTAGTAACAGTCTAGGTCATGCTTCAAAAAAGAAGTGATGCCCCATTCGCTAGTCTGATTTTCCACTCTTGAAAGAACTAACAGTGCGTCCTAGGTAAGAATGTCAAAGTACAGATACTTAAATACGTGCGCTAACGCATTGTGTCTGTAGCAGGCAATACAAAGGAACAGCATCTCAGCGTGAGGACAAGTTTCACCTGCACTTCTTTGCAATTTTCACTTCCCAGCAATTGTGAGTGGAGGGAGGCCACTAGGCTGACATTGCCCCCCAATGCGCTCCAATGACAGCATCTTGTGAAGAGTCCTTCATTTCTTAACACAGGACCATGTCTTCTTTAAAGCTCTTCATTCTGTTAGGAGATGCTTAAGACAGACACTAACATCCCCACTTCAAAGACAAGTGAAAGCTCAGGAGGTTAACTGACTTGCCCAGCTACAAAGTGGCCACGTTCCTTCAAATTGAAGTCATACATTCAAATTTCTATCTCTATTTTCCTCTTAAAAGCTTTCTGGAGGCTGCAGACGCAGCTCAGCAATTAAGACCACTTGCTCTTGTAAAGGCCCTGGGTTCAGTCCCCAGTAGCACATGGGGGCTCATAAACATCTGTAACTCCAGTTCCAGGGTATCTGACACCCTCTACTGGCCTCGGCTGCACTGCATACATATGGTGCACATACATACATGCAGGCAAATACTCATACAACACAACAATAAAAGCATTCTCAAATACAGGGAGACCTCACTGCAGCTCAGACATTTCAGGAATGTAAAGCAACATGTACTTTGTTAAAAGAAAATGTTGAATACTAACTGAAATCAAGTGTATGAGATGTCTCACCCCGAAATACTAACCCTAAAATTCTGCACTTCTGGTATGAATTGTATGAACGAGATCTATAAACACCAAAATTTTTTTAGAACAAATGCTGGGAAAATTACCAAGTGCACATGGAAAAGAAAAATGAACTGTAGATTCATTGTTCAACTCAACAATTGTAACTTTTTTTCTATTGATACTTTGTAAAACTCACTGAAATTAAGACAAAGCCTCTACAAACATGCATACATACACGCACACACACACAACTGCTCAATTATTTTGCCCCATAGTAGTATTAATACATCATCTTCATAAATTTTCTAATTTATAGAGGACACATGAAATCTTAAAAAAAAAATTTCTCAAAGATCCCTGAGAATTTTTGAAAAGCCAAGTTTTAAAAGGAAAACCTGTGAGAATTCTGCAAATATTTGTGACATTAAAAAAAATAGAGACAAACCGGCCTCTTTATTTATAAACAGTCCGTGCTTTCATATCATTGTGGAAACTAAAGTACATAATTTTCAGCTATGCATAATAAAATATGTAATTAAGCAGCATTCCATGGTGGATTAAAGAATTAAAAGCTTCAGGTGCAGAAAAGAATTTGTTGGCATTTTCTTCTTCAAGGTGGTATTTTGAGGTGTTGCTTTTCGTTTTCCTTTGACATCTTATACACAAATAAGTAGACAGAAACAGGTGAGAAGCAGAGAAAATGAAGAATTGGCCCCACTACAATAGACCCCCCCCCCAAAGAAAAACATGGAGGGTGTTTGCAACATGCCCAAGAAAACTAAATTAAAAAGGCCTGGAATCTTCTTTGTCTGGGGAGAAAAAAAATATCTCTAAACAGGGGCTTGTGCCTCATAAATAGCAATCACATAAGCAGTGACCTGGATTGAGTAATTCCTATATTTCAAACTACATTAAATTCACATACCAATTGGTACAGTTTGGTAAACTTATTTTTTAGATGAAGAGCTCATTTTAATTAGTAATTCTGTGCTCTAAATAGTGAAGTTCATTGAGGAATTTATTCTGTTTTTAAGGATAATGCACAAAATAAAATCAAACCACTCAGATGTCAGAAGTGTTAGGATGACATTGGAAAAAAAATTATTCTATTTGTAAGAAAAAATACTGTTACAGACATGACATCTTACATTTAACGTGAGGCTTTCTAGTGTCTAAAGTGTTTCATGCAATGCTTAAACCACAGATATAAACAGTTGAAGTAAATTCCTTTTTATGTTCTTGTCTTTTCAAATCCTGCAACAAAAACATTTTTGGTGGATGAATGAAGGAATGGAAG